TCCCCCCCGGTAAACCCCTCCCCCCAATACCCCCCAAAATAAACCCGCGTGTCCCCGCCTCTGCACGCGTGTCCTTAGCGTGTCCCTGCCACTGCACGCATGTCCTTAGCGTGTCCCTGTGGCTGCATGCATGTCCTTAGTGTGCCTCTGTCGCTCCACACATGTCTTTAACGTGTCCCTGTCACTCTGCGCATGTCCCTAGCATGTCCCTGTGGCTGCACATGTGTCCCTAGCGTGTCCTTGTCACTCTACACATGTCTCTAATGTGTCCTTGTCACTGCACGTGTGTCCCCAGCATGTCTGTGTGGCTGCATCTGTGTCCTTAGAGTGTCCCCGTCACTGCACGCATGTCCCTAGCATGTCCCTGTGGCTGCACGTGTGTCCCTAGTGCGTCCCCATCACTGCACACATGTCCCTAGCGTGTCCCTGCCACTCTACATGTGTCCCTAGCATGTCCCCATCACTGCACACAAGTCCCTAGTGTGTCCCCATCACTGCACGCATGTCCCTAGCATGTCCCTGTGGCTGCACGTGTGTCCCTAGTGCGTCCCCATCACTGCACACATGTCCCTAGCGTGTCCCTGCCACTCTACATGTGTCCCTAGCATGTCCCCATCACTGCACACAAGTCCCTAGTGTGTCCCCATCACTGCACGCATGTCCCTAGTGTGTCCCTGTCACTCTATGCGTGTCCCTAGTGTGTTTGTGTGGCTGCACAGGTGTCCCCAACATGTCTCTGTCACTGCACACATGTCCTTAGCGTGTCCATGGGGCTGCACACATGTCCCTAGCCTGTCTGTATGGCTTCATGTATGTCCATAGTGTGTCTGGCTGGCTGCACACGTGTCCCTAGCGTGTCCCCATCACTGCACGCATGTCCTTGGTGTGTCCGTGTGGCTGCACACGTGTCCCTAGCATGTCCCCATCACTGCACACATGTCCTTAGCGTGTCTGTGTGCCTGCACACGTGTCCCCAGCATGTCCCTGTCACTGCACACATGTCCTTAGTGTGCCCATGTGGCTGTATGTGTGTTCTTAGCGTGTCCGTGTGGCTGCACACACGTTCCCAGCGCCCCTGGTGCTGCACCTCTACGTCCCGCGCTGTGTCCCCAGCACACGCGTGTCGCCGCCATGTCCCCAACCATCACGTGTCCCTTCCGCGGTGGGTCCCCCCGCTTCATCCTGCCCCCCCCCCTCCCCCGACGCCGTGGGGCAGCGTGCGCTGGCGTGTGGGGCCGCGTCGTCCCACGGGCCTTGGCGTGTCCCGGCGTGTCCCGGCGTGTCCTGGGCAGGGCCTCTCCGCCCCACAGCTCCCGGGGTTCCCAGGCCCAGCCCCACGGGGTGACGCCGACAGTTGTCCCCCCCCCTCCGCCAC